TACTCTGCTGTAAGTTCTTCTATATACTGGTTCCTCGTGAGCTCTTGTTGACCCATCCGATTCTAGGCCGATATCGACACCAACCGTCTCCAGATGGCTCAGTACATGAACTGCGGTACCGATGACGAGCGCAGTGACTTTTTCGCTTTCAACGACTACTCTTGGTGTGATCCCTCCTCTTTCACGATCTCTGGCTGGGATCAGAAGGTCAAGAACTTCACTGGCTACGGTCTTCCTCTCTTCCTGTCCGAATACGGCTGCAACACCAACAAGCGTCAATTCCAAGAAGTCGCCTCCCTCTACTCCACGGACATGACTGCTGTCTACTCTGGTGGTCTAGTGTACGAGTACTCTCAGGAGGCCAGCAACTATGGTCTGGTGGAGATTAACGGCAACAACGTCAAGGAGCTCGATGATTTCACTGCTCTGAAGACCGCTTACCAGAAGACCTCCAACCCCTCCGGCGACGGCAACTACAACAAGACTGGTGGTGCCAACCCTTGCCCCGCCAAGGACTCTCCCAACTGGGACGTTGACGGCGATGCTCTGCCTGCCATCCCCGAGCCTGCCAAGAAGTACATGACCGAGGGTGCTGGCAAAGGCCCTGGTTTCGCCGGCTCTGGCAGCCAGGACCGTGGTACCCAGTCTACTGCCACTGCTCAGCCCGGATCTGGCTCCGCCACTGGAAGCAGCAGCAGCGGCACCTCCACCGCTTCCAAGGGCGCTGCAGCTGGCCTGACTGTCCCTAGCTTGACCATGGCTCCCGTCGTCGTCGGTGCGGTTACTCTCCTGTCGACCATCTTCGGCGCTGGTCTCGTCCTTTTGTAATTTCCTATTCTCATACCCTCTTGAACAAAATTGTCTTATTGCCATGATTTTTGTTCTTCGTCTTCGGTTCGGCTCTTTCGGCTCCCGATTGGTCTAGTCTGGGGAAATTGTATTCAATTGATGAATTATCCGTGGCGTTTCACCCCAGTGAGAAAGACTCGGGAATTGTACAGTTTAGGTTGGCTCTTCTTGGCCGCATAGATTAATTGAATGACTCTTCATCTTCTGATAGTTTAGGCCCTTTTCACTTTTGGCCAACGATTTTGCAGTGGTCGCCTGGTGCTTGTGCCCCTGGCAGTGACCGACCCACATCGCACTGAATTCCAGAGCGACCAGCTTGCTGAAGATTCTTGAGAGGACGCTGCCAGCCTGTCAAAAGGCCGTTGGTCAATGATCGAACGCTTCCGACCCACTGGGAGTGTTAACAGGATAAGCTCCCCCAGGCATTATACTACTATTCTGACTGACTTCAAAAGTAATCCTACATTGCCCGACTACCGACATTTTCCATCAACACCTCTCTTTCATCTTTTAATATCAATGTAATGTCGTTGCGGGTTGTCAGCTCTGACACGCTCATTAGCATCCTGACTCGGTCGACGAATCAACCACAACGCTTTACCGATCCATCCACTTGATAATGAACGTCCAGGAGGGGAACTGTTTCGATTAGATGGCATGGTGGGCAATATCAGTATTGAGGGTTAACGGCTCAAACAACCGATGTCGAAATATGAAACCAGACTGATCTAGCTCTCCTTGGCGCGTCCCACTCCGTGCAAATTGAAGACGGCCGGCTCTTCTTGGTTTGCTTATTTCCTGCTGGCGCATGCGACATTCGTTCCATGAGAGAAGCAGACATGGTCTTAACGGTTTCTAGGCGTTGAATGAGCCCACAGGTTTAATACTTCCAACGCAGCGGGTGCCATCCTTCCATTTTCTCGGTCGTTTTCCGTGACAGGGCGAGTCCGTGCTTGAGGACGACTGGGTGTGTATATGAACGATATCCTCGCCACGATGGCTGTTCATTCAATCGATCACTCATCCATTCCTTCTCTTCTTTTTCTTCCTTCTTTCCTTTCGGCGATTCTAGCCGTCATTCGCTTTGGGCTGCTGCTGGGTCGGCTAACCCGTTCCTTTCATTCATTTTCGGATTTTGTCTTCAGCACACGCTGATTCTTGGCGATCTTGTCTGCTTTCTCGTTCTGATCGACTGAAGATAAAATGCGTTCCTTTCTTTTCGGTGGCTTGGTAGCCTTGAGCTCGACGCTCGGCGCCTTTGCGAATAACTACAATTCCTCCGCCTACAGTGACTCGGCATCCGGGATCGACTTTCAGAGATGGTGCGATGAGGATACCGGTTTCTGCTTCGGTCTGGCCCTCCCGGAGACCGTAGGCACGGACTTTGTCGGTCAACTGGTGGTACCGCTGGACAGTTCGAAAGGATGGGGTGGTGTCAGTCTGGGTGGCTCCATGACCTCGACCCTCCTGATCGCAGCCTGGCCGAATGGTAACTCGGCTGTCTCGAGTCTGCGCAAGACAAGTACATACGCCAACCCGGACGTATACAGCGGAGACGCCAGTCTCACCGAGATCGCTGACGGCACGTCCATCAACAGCACTCACCTCACTTATACTTTCCTTTGCAGTGGTTGCATCCTAGGACAACCAGCGACATTCGACGCCACCGATGAAACATACTTCCTTGGCTGGGCTCTCAGCAAGACCAGCCCTACCACCCCTGCCTCGTCCTCTTCGGCTTTGACATACCATGCCGCTGGCTTTGGTAGCTTTGAGATGCTCCTCGGCCAGGCGAAGTCCTCCAAGTATTCCACCTGGGCTGCCATGGCCAAGTCGACCAGCGGATCGGCCTCCAGCACCCCTTCCGCGTCTGCGTCCGTCACCGCATCCCCTAGTCGCAGCCCTGTCGCTAGCGTCACTCCGACGATTTCGAACTCCACATACGACTACATCGTTGTGGGAGGTGGTGCGGCTGGTATCGTGGCTGCGGAACGCCTGGCGGAGACAAACAAGCGCGTGCTGCTCATTGAGCGAGGAGTGGCCCCGACCGTCGAGATGGGTGCCTCTGACGCTCTTGCATGGAACAAGACTCTTGCGCCCGTCGATATCCCGGCCCTGAACCAGGCACTTACCAGCCTTGGTGTCGTTGGGGACTACCTGTGCTCTGACACGGCGGGCATGGCTGGATGTGTTCTGGGTGGCGGCACCATCGTCAACGCGATGGCCTTGATCTACCCCCAGGAAGCGGACTTTGACGACAAGTGGCCCGCCGGCTGGAAGTGGCAAGATGTCAAGAGTGCCGCTGCCCGCTTCTACGAGAGAAACCCGGGAAGTCTCCTCCCGTCCGCTGACGGTCGCCGATATGACCAGGGCATGTACACCGTGCTGTCTTCCTTTTTGAGCGGTCTCGGATGGAAGTCTGTTGATCAGCACAAGCAGCCCAATGAGAAGCACAAGGCGTTCAGCTACCCGTCCTGGTCGGTCGCCAATGGCATTCGAGCTGGTCCTGTGCGCTCCTACCTTCCTTTGGTCCAGAACAAGGACAACTTCACCCTGCGTCTGCAGACCACGGTGGGCCGTCTCATCCGCACTGGCGGCCACGTCACCGGTGTCGAGGTTCAGAACGCCTCGGGCGGTATTGAGGTCATCAGGATCCGTCCTGGCGGAAAGGTCATCCTTGCAGCCGGTGCCCTGTCCACTCCTCGCATCCTGTTCAACTCTGGTATCGGGCCTGCCAAGCAGATCAAGACCGTCCAGAGCGGCAGCACCGGCGTCACCCTGCCCGCTCAGAAGGACTGGATCAACCTCCCTGTCGGCCAAAACCTCAAGGACCACCCCATGCTCACCGTCAAAGTCAACACGGGCGCCAACTTCACGGCCTTCAACACCTCCAGCGTCATCCCCGCCACCAACTCCCTCGCGCAGAGAATGTACGCCAGGGGCTCCGGAATCCTAACCCAGGGCGGCCACCGCCTGCAATTCTGGACCTCGAACGTCGGCACGGACGGCGTCACCCGCTTCTACCAGGCCTCCTGCAGCCCCGGCGGCGATGGCGTCATCACCATGAAGCTGTACCTGACGCACGGTGCCACCTCCTCTGGCGTCCTGGGCATCAACGCTGCCGGCTCCACAACCATCGAGACCGATCCCTGGCTGCAGACAACCGAAGACAAGGAGGCGCTCACCCAATTCCTGCAGGAGCTTCTCGACGACCTCAAGAAGGCCTCCTACACCGTCCAGGAGTACAGCTCCGCGGCGGAGATCCTCGCCAAGCTGACAAGCGGCGACCACTTCGTCGGCACAGCCAAGATGGGGACCGACGACGGCCGCCGCAACGGAACCTCGGTCGTGGACACCAACGCCAAGGTCTACGGCACCGACAACCTGGTAGGCTTCTTTTTGTATAGTGTGTCCTGTTATACTGACAGAGAATAGTACATCGTCGACGCTAGCATCCACCCCGACCTGCCAACCGGCAACACCCAGGCCATCGTCATGATCGCCGCCGAGGCCGCCGTCGCCCGCATCATTGCGCAGGCGGGCTCCAGCGCTGCCGGCCCCTCCAGCATTGCTGTTTCCGCCCCGAGCCAGAACACCGCCGTTGCGGCTGCTTCCACTTCCAGCACGGAGGTTGCTGCTCCTACCGGTGGTCAGGAAACCGCCGTCACTCAGGCTTCTGGCGCAGGGGCCGCGACCTCCGCTGCGGCGGCTACCGAAACCGACGCGGCGTCTACGACGACGACGAAGGCCGAGGGTGGTGTGGCTACCGTCACGGCGTGGGTGACGTCTGTGGATGTGGTCACCGTGACCAAGCATGTTGTTGTGACTGCTACTTCGACCGTTACCGTTCTGCCTACGTTTGCGTAGAGGACTCGACTCTGAGGAAAGCAAGTATGTGGCACTGAGGGTGGCTATGCTCAAGCACCAGCGAACCGAATGTATTAGATATAGCTTGAATGCACTCGTATCTTGTATATCACATCAAGCGCAGAACTCGCTTCCCGCCACAAATCTATTTACTCATCTTTTTTTTTTACAAAATAATGGTCCTGTTATCCCACGGACAGTCCGGAGTACTCAAGTATACCCGCCAACCCAACCCCACAGAACGAAAATCATCACGTCGTAATCATAATCATCACATCACATCATCAGACAGAATCATCCCCCAGCCAGAACTGATCCCCCCATTCGGGCTGCATCATCCCCCCCTGCAGCGCACCCGCGCCCACATCCACGTCCACGTCCAGATCATCCAGCGAGCAGAAGACCCCGCCGTCCGCGTAGCCGCCATCCCCGAACAGGAACGCCTGGCCGTCCATCATCGACATCGAGACGGGGATGTCCGCCACGGACGCGAGGGCGGGGGTCGCGAACGAGCCGCGGCTCAGCGGGAAGTGCGAGGGGGGAGGTGGCGCGGTCGTGATGCCGATGCCGATGCCAGTGCCTGGGACTGCTGGGGCTGTGGATCGCGCGCCTGGATGGTGATGCCGGTGGTGTCCGTGAGCGTGTGCGTATCCGGATGCAGACGGGGGACTCTGGCTCGCCATCTGGGTGTCCATAGAACGGGGCGGCGGAGAAGGGCGGTGTGCGGGGACGGCGCCGGTGCCCGGGTGGCCTGGTGGGAGGGTCGTTGGTATGGCTGCTTGCCGGGCGGCAGCCGATGGAGACTCGATGGAGGGACGCGGCGCGATGGGGAGGAAGCCGCTGTTGGGACGAGAGGGTCTACCGGAAGATTTCTGGACGAAAGAACCGGGAGAGAAAGAGCACATCAGCGAACGACTGTGTGTGAAAAACATACATGGGCAATAAAAAAAAAAAAAAAAAAAAAAAACACCCGGACAGTGAAAAGCAATCAAGATGGTGCGGTGCGTCCTCCTCTTGTCTGGTGACATCTACTTTTGAAGATTGAGACTTGGACTCTGCCTCACGTCTGATTTTGGTGTGCTCTTCTGGAGCCTGGCATGGGGTGCAGTTGCATACAGAGCAGGTCGAAAAGGGGCGACCTTTTCTGGCGATTCGGATCAATGGTCGATCTGCAGACTGTGAGTCTAAATGATTATCATTGTTATTTGAGATGGAGAGGGAGAAGTACCATTGTGTTTACAGGTTGTCACACGGTGGCCGCGGACGCAAGCTTCACAAGCCCACTTTTCACCGTCAATGAGCATCCCTTGATGGTATGGGAGAAAGAGACCATGGTGAGGGATGAGGAGGAGGAATTTATACGTGGACTGGTGGAGAGGAGATGAGACAATGCATCATAGGCAATACTGTGGAGGATCAAAATGGGATGGAGCTGGAGTCGCTGTTTTGGGACTGCCGTGGTTGGTGGCCTCAAACCACGAGCTTCTTGCCTCAGGTTTCTGGAGATCGTCTTGCAGCGCCAGCCACGGCCTGCAGGTGAGAAGGGATCCCACTCGGGTTGGGTGATGGAGACAATTTTACGATGCCATTGAAACCAGGAAAACGTGATTGGTGCGGATGGAGAAATATTCGCGATTTTGGTGGCCGTCACAAAAGGAGGATCCTCTGAGGAGTCAGCAGAAAAATTGCTTCGATGGATCCTTGTGTATACAGAGTCACTGCTAGCTACCACTGTATACGGAGGACTTTGGAAGACAAAAGACGGAAACCGATGAATCGAGACTAGCGATGAGGGATTTTCCACCCTCGGCTCCCGCAAATGAAACCCAGGGCTAGGGGGTGTTTTCCAGGTTCTCCCAGGAATCCCCCGAAGCAGCAAAGCACAAAGCGATGCTGCGCGGCTGTAAGCTGGCGATATCATCCTTTGCCAGTGCCAGTGCAAGTGGAAAAGCCAGCGAGATGCCAGATTCGTCTTAGCATTGATCAAAACTGGTGGTCCAGCAAATTCCCTCATACATTTGGGTCCTCACGATTCTCTTTCAGACCGCCCCTCTTCCAAGGCCAATCTTGCTGCCTGCTGTTATGGATTCTCAAGGCCTTGCAATAATATGTAATGACAAACAACATGATCTGCTAGAGAAGAAAAATTAAGACGAGGACAAGAAAATTAGAGCTTGATTGAGACGCTCGGTTCACTATGAGGCTGGAGGATATTTTCCCGACTCTGTAGTACATACAGAGTACAGAGTAGGTACACTGAAGCATCAATTGCCAATACATGGAGTGACGTACATCATTGACTACAATATAACCGACTACTCTGTCATTTTCATTCCATTATCAAACAGAATCCTATCTTCCCTCTCTGTCGCAATCATAACCACAATCATATGAATGTGTAGATCATCTCGCTTGATGGAGGTGGCTGAGCAGCTGCATTTCCGACACTAAAAGAGTAAAGCAGCATACACTAGAGCTTCAGCACAAGCCAGATAAAGGCCCGTGGCGCAGTCTAATAATTGCCGCTGATATCCATGGGATCAGGACTTGCAATCATTAATTACTATCTTGTACATGATTTACTATGAGGTATTTCCCCTGATAATACTAATTTCCTGCGCGATTTTCACCTGTAGTTCGAGACTTTAGGGTAGCCATATTGTGTATACTCCATAGTTGCTCGAATCTGAATAGTAGGTTTCATTCCTTTTGACCGGAGAATTTCATAAATCCAACGGCAAAAGAAAAAGAGAGGTTAGTCAATTCGACCGAGTGGACAAATTCTATCATGTCAACTTCGCTTGCCCCTCCTACGAGTACACCGTCACCAACATGTCCATCCTACTCGGCACTCTCTGCATATGTACCTTAATAGAAACGATCACCATCATCTGCAGTACTAGCCTCCAATAGAATTTTGAGGGGAAACGGCGGCTGAAATTAAGGTATCTTCTGCGTGGCTTGTGCACAGTACTTTGATTTCCGACTGTAAGAGCATGGCGCTTGCTCTGAAAGGAAGGTCCTTGCCCATGTGTCCATAATTACCTGACGACACGCTGGCAGATTGTCCCCTGGTCCGTTTGGTTTCTATGGACGACCTCGAATTTGCTGTTGTAGAGATCATGAGACCAGTTGTAATAGATCGTGCTGTCCACAGACTTTTGCGATCCAATTGCCCGGGCTGGGTTTACAATAGACAGGAGGACGTGGATGGGATGGATTCGATTGTTCACAAGAAACGCTGCTATGCCACCAATGCAAAGCTATAGATGAATAATGTGGTAATGAGACTGCCAACCCAGCGGCAAACCGCCTAACAATAAGCTTAAAACCAGACCGATGCCACCTCTAGACTTCCTGTATATAGTTCGCAGGTACACTCTTGGTGACCCCTCCCCGTTCGACATCGGCCCATCCATCTCCGCTGTCCCGGTTGACCAGCACGAACCGGTCGCCTTCCACCATGCTCCATTCCATATCGCTGCGCGCTTCGTAGTCATACAGCGCTTCGACGTATTGCACTTTTTTCGCCCCTCGTCGAGGGGCGACTGCAGGCCCAACCCGCTTGGGCGCCACACTGCCAGCTAGCGAGGCAGACGAGTTCGAGTACGTGGAACCCGGCCGATCGGCGAATCCAGGACTGGCCGTAGGCGCAGGGGATGGTGTCGGTGCCGCTTCCACATATGAGGCTGGGACGAGGCCTTCTAGCGATCCAGCGCGAACGCGCATCCATCCAGAGCCGTCTAGAAACCCCAGTTAGGACGATTCTCTACTTGTCAACGGTGGACTTACCATCAGGCTCAATAATATCCACGTCGTCCCCTTCCTGCACTGTGATTTCGTCCGCCCCTCCAGCTTGATACGGGTACAACATCTTCCCTCGCGGCTCACCTGATTTGGCGGGAGCGGATGGCGACTCACTTGCCGCTGGAGCACTAACGTACTGTGCCGGAGGTGGTGCGAGAACCCGATTCCTCTTCGGAGCGGCGGTGGCGGGTTTGGTCTCAGCAGGCACAGCAGGCTCTGTTGTGCTGGCTGGTTGACTGGTAACATTCGACAACGATCGGTTTGCGCTGGCAGCATATCCTGAGCTCAAAGAGGTCATCGTATTTTGCCGTGTGAGCGACGGCGCGGCCGACGTTCCATTCGATGGTGTAATTTCGAGCGCTGGCATGGCACCGGCTTGCTCTTGTCGCTCGACCTTGAGCTTCTTCTTCTCCTCCTTGGTCTGCTCGCCAGGACACTCCGCGGGTACCTTCATCTGACATTTGCTGTGGCATGTGTACCCGCAGTCCCGACAATCAAACCCTTTTGCTGACAGTCCCCAAATACGCTCCCCGCAAAGATCGCAGTTGGTTGGGATCTTGAACGTCTGCGACTTGAAATTGTGATTCTTGGCTCCCAGAGACAAATCGCCCGCCACTGACATAATGGTCGACGTTTCAATTTCGGCAGCCAGTCGTTTCCGGTCTGTCTCATGGAGCGCCTCCTGCAAGAAAAATATGGACCGGACAACCTCGACTTCGCTCCGGTTCTCCTTCCCTTGCCGAACATTTTCTCTGACCCGCTTGGCGTTCTCAACTTCCCGTCGCTTCTGGTCGGACTCGACTCGTAAATCCCGGACTTGCGTCTTGCCCTTGCTGAGGAGGTTGCGCAGAAACACTTTGGCCGTCTCATCTGTAATCATCGACTCGTCATCATGCCAGACAGGACTGGGTTCGAATACCATGTTGGCAGGTTCCTGCACTTGGGTGACGTTGTGACGAAGGAACATGAGGGAGTCAAGGTGCGGTACGTTTCGAGGAATCTCGTTCAGTAAATGTGACATGTGGTCCATACTCTTAGAAAGAGAAGTTTTCTCTAATTGAGCTGCGAGCGACCATAGCGAGTTGAGTTTTGTCACCCGGGTCTCATTCAGGTCTTGCAGTCCCTATGCGACCAGTGAGTACTCGACCCATCTGTAATCTGAAGCCATCTACTCACATCAAGAAGCTCTGGCACATATTCATGGAAAAATTTCTCCTTCATCTTGTTGGTCACATTTATGCTGATGAGGTACATGTTCTGTCAACACGTTAGCAAGACCAGGATGGGGTTGGGAAAAATAAAAAAAAAAAAAGGAAAAACGGCCAGCTCACCTTGACATTGTTCATTTCCAAAATTTGCTGCTGATAGGCAGCCTGCGCCTTCGCCTTTCCATGGTCAAACGAACTTTCCATCTTCTTTCTGCGCGCCTCGACTTCCTGGCATGCCCCGTCATATTTCCCTTTCGCCTTCTTAAGCTCACCGTAAGACGAGTCTCTCTCCTTCTCCAGCTTCGCATGAAAATCCACATGGCATTTCCTAAGTTCTTCGTACTGCGCCGCTGCTTGCTTGAGAGGCTCCGCCACTTGCGCGACCAACTCCGAGGCAAACTTGTCCCGTTCAGCGGCATGCGATTCGACGGCGGTCAATTGCGTCGTCCAGGTGGTAAGAGAAGCGCTCTCAAGGGAGCCGGGGGTCATCGTAGGATTGTCTCCAACGCTCAGGCTGCTGATTTTCTTCGCCTTACGGTCGTAGTATTTCCGGCAAAGAGCAGTGAGTTTGGCGGCATATTCCTTCTCGATCGCGCTCCGCTCGCGATAGAACTGTTGTATCTCGTCCAGCCATTGTATCCCGTTCGACACCTATGAATGACGTTCAACTCTGTTGTTCTTGGTCTTGCGGACGAAATGCGGGGAAGCGACTTCGGATACGTACCCAATTATTCACTGGTTTAAATGCGTCCTATATCATCACTTCGTATTAGGTCGCCATCCTCAAGGTGTATTGATAGTAAAACCTACCTTTAGCTCCGCCCCAAAATGAGGAGCAACGTCCGCAGTTGCCATCTTTCAGAGGGCCGCTGAGGTATCCCGGCGCATAA